CTCCCCCCCCCCCCTTCTCTTGTTTATTACTCTCCACAACCCTCCAAGGAGTGAGAGACCTCCCAAACAAAGGCAACAAATAGAAACATATAAACATTGAAAACAAAATGATTTTTTACAGTATCAACATGACCACCACCACAGCTTTTCTAGCCAACTTTCACTCTGTTATGATCATTTACATCGGAAAATCCATTAGGAGAAGAACAAAGCCGGACCGACGAAAGTGCCTTATCAAAATGCTTGGCCTTGGTGCCAAGATACTCATTCCAAGTGACCGGCCGGTAGAGAGGAGGGTGGCCATGGTCAACTAGTTTTGAGAGTGGTGAGATTTGAACACTGCATGGCGGCCCAAAGAGATAAGCAATGGATAGTCGTTGTTGGGTCCTGTTAACCACGGCCCGGTGAAGGACACTCGGGTACAACCCGTTGGTTAGTATATGGAGCAAGTCCCCTATGTTGACCACTAGGGCACCATGGATCGGAGGAACAGTGACCCAACCAATTCCCTCCCGGAGGACCTGTAAACCACTTGTGTTGTTTTGGTGGAGGATGGTGAGGAGGGTGGAATCGGTATGCGCAGCAAGGCCCATGGCCCGGTTTGGATCCGGACAAGCCGGGTAAAAGTTCAACTGTAGGGCGGCTGCGGTAGCACCTTCCCCTTTGATGTCTCCTTTCGGGTCAGCCCATTTGACATCTTCCTTGGCGATGCCAAGTGACTCTAGCATTAGCCACATCAGCCTGCCAGCTAGCTTTTTCATCTCTTTCTCATATTCTTCTATTACATCACTGAAGATGAGAACAGTGAAAGATTGAATTAGACTGTGTTATGGGATGGGATGGGATGGGATGGGAATGGGAATGCGAATGCGATGGGACAAAGAGATGCTACAATAAAAAGATGCCATAATTATGGATATGGAACAAAATGAAACAGCAAAAAGTGGATTTGATTTTCTGAAACCTATCTCACCATATCTTCTATGTGGGACCATTAATTTGTTATCTTTTTTACAAAGTGTTATTTTCTAATCTATGCTTACAGCCTTAAGGAAAATAGGAGATATTTCCCTGGCTATGGCACTTTCAAGTTTCACCACATAATAAGAAGATTAAAGCAATTGTACGGATTGATGTTGAGGTCCGATTGAAGCAATCTTACTTTTACATTAAAGTCCGCCCTTACAATATATGTGTATAATCTATATGTATATATACATACAATTATAGCATTTGCATGAGAGGATGAGAGGGATACCAAAATTTGCTGTAATCTTGGGGCCAAAGAAGGGAAGCATGTTCAAGTGGTGATCCAACAATAGTGAACCCTTCGGACCACATGTGCTTGGGGAAGAAAGAAGAAATTCGAGCTACGCCATATCCCGAGACACCGTCGGGGGATCGAGCAGCTTTGAGCTTTTGCTGGATGGGGAGAGAGAAAAGGGTCCTCCCGGCCGACTCAATGTCATTGAGAAGGCTCAATGGGATGTCATGTTTTATGACTTGAAACACACCCCAAGTTTTGCATGCATACCCTACCAGTTTTAGGGCATTTGGGTCACTGAGATCAATGATTGGTGGAGTCTCTATGCTACAAGAGTCTTCACTGGAAAAAGGGTCTCCCTCAAGTGATGCCCATGCATGTGAGTCTGGTAATTCTTTTACTGAATTTAAGTCCAAGTGTTTAGGGTTATGGTAGAGAGGATGGGCTCTGAAAGCATCCGAGAGTCTTGAAGGCATTGTAAACTTTATGTAGACAGAGAGAGAGAGAGAGAGCGCTTTTGGAACTGTAGACTAAGGTTCAAAGCAGCATGTTGTAGTGGTAATTAATAACAGTGAGGGATTGTTATGAAGGAATGAATGTTTACGAAGGTATGATGAGGTGAATGTGATGGTTTGAGTAAGGTATATATAGAGATGGTGGGGAAGATGATGACAAGGGGGTGAGAATAGGGGTTGGTAACGTAATTTCAGAGTGCTATTGGGGACAAGAAAAAGAGTGGGGTTTAATTTGTATTGGACAAAGAGAAAGAACAAGAAGTGAAAGTACCATCTTATCCTCTACAAAACAATATAAACCATGAAGAAAGTAAAGGAATTCCTCTACAAAACAATATAAACCATGAAGAAAGTAAAAGAATTCCCAAAACTCACAAAACCAATGAGGTTCCATGAAAGGGGAGGAGGGTCTATGTTTGTCCATGTGCCTTTGTCTTGTTCTCAAGTTGAAAGACATCTATATCACCACCTCTCTCCTTGGCCCTACTCCCTCTTCACTACAAAACAAACAATCCCCTACCTCTCCTTAAATTTCTAAATGGCAAAGCTGTCCTTGGGTCTTTACTCTTGGAATTGGTCGTATGTTCTTACATGACCTCTCTAACATTAGTAATTGCTTTAATCACTAAATGTCTAAAAGTTGTGAATGGTTAATATCTTTTTGGGCTGTTATATTCTATAACTAATACTTTTTAATGATTTTACTTTTAAGTTGTTACATCTTATAATCGATAAACATATATGTCTGATCATTGAGTATTTAAGTATTATTTGTCTTAAATGTAATCCTAGCATATTTTTTTGTAATTTTGCGTATATCGTATTCTATTACTTTCCTCTTCCCCATCTTGTCTTCCTAATTTCCTCTTCCCCATCTTGTCTTCCGTTGATTCGAGAACTTGTTTAAGATTTTGTGACAATCCCAAGGGATAAGGAGAGAAGATGGGACATGTTTTTGGCAACATTGGGAGGGACAATTTTGTCATTTGAAAACAAGTGAGTGCTCTTATGCTTTTTTTTTTATTCTGCATTTCTAGTCATTCCCATGAAAAGTAGTAAAGTCTTTTTTGGTATTTTATGGTTAGATTTGTGTCCTTTGTCCTACCCGACCCAAGTGGGCTCCATAAAACCGTCACTATTATAAGAGTAATGCAACACCATCGTAAGGGCTTGTCCCTAAACATCACCTAATGGGTGGGTCACTTGTCTTTGATAGTAAACCTTCTACTGTCCTTTGTGCCTTCTTTTTTTTCTCACCCCCCCCCCCTCTTTCTTTTGTAAGTGGAATTATCTCTATCATTTATTGTTTTGATTTACGATGCTAACATAGAATAATATTACATAATTTAAATAAAATCCAACAAATTGTAATTCAAATGTTTATCATAATTCTTTAGATGAATGAATCCAATCAACTTTTTTAATAGGATATACTCATCCAATTAATGATATACATTTAAATTATAATTTTTACATTATATTTAGATTGTGTAACATCTTCTTTCTAAAATAAAAATCAAATGAAAATAATCTATAATATAAAATAGGGTAGACTTCAATAAACCTATCCAATTTTCTTAAATAAATTTATCTAACGACCACCAACATTTTTCTCAAAAATATTCACATTACATTATACATTCAAGTATGAGTTACCCCTTGTCACTTATAAAACATGCACATCTATTAAATTCAAATCTTATACCTTAAACGAAACTCGAGTAAAGACAGATAAAATTTTGACCCAAAAGTAAATAAAAAACAAAGAAATTAATCATTTTTTTTTGGTGCAAAGAACATTCAAGCTCTACAATATTATTGATTAAATAAAGCAATTGCTCCGAGGGACAATTTATAAAAAAATCCAAAACACCAAGGGTTTTCAAAACGAAAATAAACCTCTAATTCTAAGATAATTACTAATGAAGAAAAAAAATAGAAAACTAAGTATTCTAGAATACTTCTAATTGAATGCAAATTCTAATCACAAAATAAAATAAAAAAATAAAAAATATCATTCCCGTTCTACATCAAATTTACGACTCACAAATTATTCGACCACTAGACCAATATCTGAGATTTTTTCTATATATAAACAAGAAGTTAAATCACCCTAATTTCTTTTTGTTTCTTCTCTATTTCTTTTTTTTTTTTTTTTTGTGGTTGTAATGATCTAACAGGATGAAAACAAGACTAATGATGACAAGGCCCATCAATCACATTCCTCATGCGATTACAATTTTACATGGGACATGTGCTAGCTAGGATGCACACACAAATGCATGATATCGCCATGCTAACTGCATAGCCTGTTCACATGGCGCAACGTGGTGAGGTCGGGTCGATCCTTCGATAGGCTAATGGTTTCGGATAAGACTGTCAATGAAGTGATATTCTCGTAAAATTGATTTTTACTTATATTCGAATATTTATTTATATTCGAGTTTATCTCAAAGCAACAAACTTGATGCAAGTGCGAATTAAGTCTGATAATTTTAAACGCACAAAAATTAACCTGAGATATAAAGGTTAGATCCATCAAATCTAACTATGTACAATTATAAATTTGATGGGTAATTTTTTTTTTTTTTACATGAAAATGGACATGTAGATGTGTCATTTTATATATCTGTAAATGAGCATNTTCAAGCTCTACAATATTATTGATTAAATAAAGCAATTGCTCCGAGGGACAATTTATAAAAAAATCCAAAACACCAAGGGTTTTCAAAACGAAAATAAACCTCTAATTCTAAGATAATTACTAATGAAGAAAAAAAATAGAAAACTAAGTATTCTAGAATACTTCTAATTGAATGCAAATTCTAATCACAAAATAAAATAAAAAAATAAAAAATATCATTCCCGTTCTACATCAAATTTACGACTCACAAATTATTCGACCACTAGACCAATATCTGAGATTTTTTCTATATATAAACAAGAAGTTAAATCACCCTAATTTCTTTTTGTTTCTTCTCTATTTTTTTTTTTTTTTTTTTTTGTAGTTGTAATGATCTAACAGGATGAAAACAAGACTAATGATGACAAGGCCCATCAATCACATTCCTCATGCGATTACAATTTTACATGGGACATGTGCTAGCTAGGATGCACACACAAATGCATGATATCGCCATGCTAACTGCATAGCCTGTTCACATGGCGCAACGTGGTGAGGTCGGGTCGATCCTTCGATAGGCTAATGGTTTCGGATAAGACTGTCAATGAAGTGATATTCTCGTAAAATTGATTTTTACTTATATTCGAATATTTATTTATATTCGAGTTTATCTCAAAGCAACAAACTTGATGCAAGTGCGAATTAAGTCTGATAATTTTAAACGCACAAAAATTAACCTGAGATATAAAGGTTAGATCCATCAAATCTAACTATGTACAATTATAAATTTGATGGGTAATTTTTTTTTTTTTTACATGAAAATGGACATGTAGATGTCTCATTTTATATATCTGTAAATGAGCATTGTTTTTTAGTACTACACAATTATCTGTAAAAGACCTCACCGCACCTACGTCGAAGCAGACGTTAAAGTGTCACCATGTGTTCTGGGCACTTAGGGTGTGTTTGGTTTAAGCATTAGGAATGATTGGATTATATAATGTTGTTCATCCNATGAGCATTGTTTTTTAGTACTACACAATTATCTGTAAAAGACCTCACCGCACCTACGTCGAAACAGACGTTAAAGTGTCACCATGTGTTCTGGGCACTTAGGGTGTGTTTGGTTTAAGCATTAGGAATGATCGGATTATATAATGTTGTTCATCTNTGTCACTTATAAAACATGCACATCTATTAAATTCAAATCTTATACCTTAAACGAAACTCGAGTAAAGACAGATAAAATTTTGACCCAAAAGTAAATAAAAAACAAAGAAATTAATCATTTTTTTTTGGTGCAAAGAACATTCAAGCTCTACAATATTATTGATTAAATAAAGCAATTGCTCCGAGGGACAATTTATAGAAAAATCCAAAACACCAAGGGTTTTCAAAACGAAAATAAACCTCTAATTCTAAGATAATTACTAATGAAGAAAAAAAATAGAAAACTAAGTATTCTAGAATACTTCTAATTGAATGCAAATTCTAATCACAAAATAAAATAAAAAAATAAAAAATATCATTCCCGTTCTACATCAAATTTACGACTCACAAATTATTCGACCACTAGACCAATATCTGAGATTTTTTCTATATATAAACAAGAAGTTAAATCACCCTAATTTCTTTTTGTTTCTTCTCTTTTTTTTTTTTTTTTTTTTTGTGGTTGTAATGATCTAACAGGATGAAAACAAGACTAATGATGACAAGGCCCATCAATCACATTCCTCATGCGATTACAATTTTACATGGGACATGTGCTAGCTAGGATGCACACACAAATGCATGATATCGCCATGCTAACTGCATAGCCTGTTCACATGGCGCAACGTGGTGAGGTCGGGTCGATCCTTCGATAGGCTAATGGTTTCGGATAAGACTGTCAATGAAGTGATATTCTCGTAAAATTGATTTTTACTTATATTCGAATATTTATTTATATTCGAGTTTATCTCAAAGCAACAAACTTGATGCAAGTGCGAATTAAGTCTGATAATTTTAAACGCACAAAAATTAACCTGAGATATAAAGGTTAGATCCATCAAATCTAACTATGTACAATTATAAATTTGATGGGTAATTTTTTTTTTTTTTACATGAAAATGGACATGTAGATGTGTCATTTTATATATCTGTAAATGAGCATTGTTTTTTAGTACTACACAATTATCTGTAAAAGACCTCACCGCACCTACGTCGAAACAGACGTTAAAGTGTCACCATGTGTTCTGGGCACTTAGGGTGTGTTTGGTTTAAGCATTAGGAATGATCGGATTATATAATGTTGTTCATCTCTTACCCATCCATCTGGCCCTTGACTAATTATAATGAT